GAACTCGGTCAGCAAAGACACGGTGAAGCAGCTTTCCAAAGTTTACACTGGCACAGAGAATCCTGTTTGATTACCACATCAAGACTGGCTAGCTGGGAGAGGTGACTGCCAAGGTACAGGAAATGCTTTCCAGGGGTTCTTCACTAACGGTAATTTGCAGGGGTAAGAGGATAGTTTGTGCTGGGGCAGGCTGATGGAGCATCTTGGTCTTCCCAATGTTAAGGGAAAGTCCCAGGCTGTGATAGGCACCTAAGAAAAGGTTAAGGGTGGACTGCAGATCAGTCTCAGTGTGCGCAAGGATAACAGCCATCAGCACACTGAAGCCTGGCGATGCCAATCTTAGTAACTCATTTTGCTGTAAGGGTGCTGCAGGTTGAAAGTCTGACCATCCATTTGACACTCAACCCCAATTCCAGGACGAAGGAGGTCACAGATGAGTGACCTGGATGTTAAGGGATGGACTCAATTGGCGGCAGCTGAGACCTCAGATTCATGGTTGAGTAAGGTCTTGAAGTGCTCCTTCCAGCGTTGCTTGATGGATACATTGTCTGTGACAAGGGTGGAGCTGTCTTGGGATTGGAAGTGGGTTGGGCCATTGGAACGTGGTCCGTGGATGGCTTTTATTGCTTGAAAGAAGCTTCTCATGTAATGCTGGTCAGTGAAACCCTACATCTCCGTGGCCTTCACTTGCCACCACTGGTTCTTGATGTCCCGTAGCCTCCTCTGAACTACAGCTCTGAGATGGTGGTAAGCCTCTCATTTTTGCTGGTTCATTTTGCCAAATGCAGAACGTAGCTCTCTTCTGATGGATAAGTGCTAGGATCTCCTCCTTGTTCTCCTCAAACCAATCTTGGTGAGGGTAAATAGAGCATCCAAATGATTAAGCTCCTCCCGGTGTGCCTGGATATCCCTGATGTCATCAGGTAGGTCAGAGAGCCTCTCAGTAAGGTGTTGCTGAAAAGCCTCGCATCTAGCTTGGTCTTGGAGTGCCTTGATGTTAAATCTCTTCTGCATTCCTTTCTGTTGTTTACAGTGTTGTGGTGCAAGCTGCATGGCCATGATTAAACTGACCAAACTGCAGTCCATCCAGCAGTCATCTGCACTTCTCAGGACTTGGGTGATATGGACATCGGTTGGATTAAGGGCTCTGACAATAACATAGTCAAGAAGGTGCCAGTGATTGGAAAATGGATGTTTCCAAGTGGTTTTATATTTGTCACTCTGTCTGAAGATGGTATTTGCTAGGATAACAGAATTTGGATCTTGGGAAGCACTGGATTTGAGCTGAATAAAGGCTTTCATCTGTGTCTCAGCAAAAGCTGCTGGTCACAAGGCAGGATGACATATTAAAACTAACTTTGCTAATGCTTACGTACATGGATTCCTAACAAAAGGATAGGGTGCAAAGTGCATGATGTGTTGTGTAAAAATAGGATACAGACCAACGGCTATCATTAGGGGACAAAGCAGAAGTACGGCTTTGGAGATGATGCTGAAGTCAGCAAGAAACCAGAAAGAACGAGCAAGAAACCACAACTGACTGGGAGAAGGCGGGGTCAAAGTCTTATGCATGCACTCTTAGCAGAGGCATGTAAATGAATGAAATGCATAGACAATACCATGCTAATGAAGCTAACAGTAAACAGAGGCGGACCTTCAAATGGGAGGTGAAATGGGTGGAACATAAAGAGGGACGAGGTGGAGTGAATGTTAATAAGCATGAATCAAGGTGTATAAAATGTGGAAAGAACTAATGTTTAGTGCAGGTCCCCTGGTTAACGGGCTATGTGTCCTGGTTCACGGGCTGTGCGGGACCCTTGTCTGAAGCTGTCTCCATTCTAAATAAAGCTGTTGCGAGCAATGTGTGCTGGTGTTCGCTCCCTGCTTGCTCTGGCTAATGAGTAACAGGATCCATACGCGATTGAACCATCGCCTCCTTAGTCGTTGGGCGCTGCATGGAGTTGGGGTCTAACAGTATTCATGATGAGCAAGTCATCCTCTGCACATTTATTAAGGAGGATACCACTGGAGTTGACTTTCCACAACCCCTCTTTCCCAATGGTGCCACTCCAGAGTTCAGAGTCTCACCTAACTCTTGTGCTGAAGTCACCCACGAGGATGACCTTGTTTTCCTTAGCAGTGGAAGTACAGGAATTAGGGTAATTAATCGCTGATACAACTTAAATAATGTCAGTAGATGATTCTGGTCCTATGTTTATCTTTCCTTCAATAAATCAAAACTGGAACTTGTGAATGTGGACTGATCCACTGAAAAGGCAGATCTTTCCTGGTCCCTACTTAATAATGGTCAAAAAGATATTCTGCACAGCAGTACAGAGAATAAATGTTCAGCTGTAATGAAATATTTTAGTACACATTTACTCTTTTGCTTCTTGTGAATTAAAAGTGTCATCGTTCCAAAATCTCTAGGGATATGAACAATATCATTTTTGTTTTAACATTATAGCTACCAAAGACATACAGAAAATTTCACTATCATTTTTTACTTTAATGTAGCCCTTGTGTATAATTGAACAACATGAACGCTCTGTTAACATTCACTTTTGTCCCTATGATATGTTGCCCTGCTTTAAAAAAGGTACATGCAGAATACCTCTATGGTATTTCCACAGACTGAGAAAGCACTGTTTCTATGGCAACCTAATCTTGATTTACATCTGAGTTTTCATTAACTGGTTTCAATGGAGTCTGTTGATTACTATAGCCCTACAGCAAATGTTATAATAATTCATCTTTGTTTAGTTTAAACTATTTGTCCAAAAAAAGTCCAACATAACTTATATTTGACAGGGGTTATTGGACAATGCATTCATCCTAGCTTTACTCAGTAGTGGTAAATGCCCTAGATATCTTTCTTTAAAGCCTATTAAGCCACATTATGTACTTCTTTCTGTGGAAGAGTAATTGTAAAAAAAGAGGAAAAATGAATTAAAATAAGCATTTACCAGTAGCAGACACATCAGTAGGGCTGCTGTCTTCAGAAATAATTGGAGATTGCTCTCTCTTCTTGAATCCAGTTTTTGTCTAAGAAAGAAATCACAAGTCATGAAATGTCATTTTCTAAAGTAGGTCAAACACCAGACTAGAAACACATGTTAATCTTAATTAAAAAAAAAAAAAAAAGAGAGATGGCTGGGTTAAATCAATATTGAGGAAATGTTGAATCAAAAAAAATGACATTCAAAATTCACAAATATATGCATTAGACCCACTGTGCCCAGGTACTAGAAAGCAACTGTTCTCTGGAATTATTTTTTAAAAAGTGTCAGTATAAGCATGCCCTGTTTGAGAAGCACCTGCTAAAGATTGCTTTATCACTTGAAAGCGTCACTTCTCATTTCAGAAAATGCATGTGAATCGTACAGTGCAGACATTTTAATAGGGAAACTTTAACTGAGCCATTTTATTACAAAGCTTATTAGAGATGATTACTGATGAGGACTGAAACAGAGGTTTGAACACAGCATTTTGTTAAAGCCAGAGAGGCCCAGCTGTTAGCATATTTAAGAGGGTGTTGAATACTGTACACCACGTAGCATACTAGAAAACTTCTGCTTCCATTGAGTCACAGGCTCTTTTCATTTCACAGGGCTTGTCTCATCATGTTTACTGCATCTGAATTTCAGTGCTGGGGAAGGGTGTAAAACCAACTTCATATGTTCTTCAGGGCTGTCAGTGACGCTACAAGCTTCCTCAACACAATGTTTTCCAACCCTGTTATGGAAAGAACATCCTCAAGGTATAGCTATATGGACAACTTACTGCAAAATTAGCTACCGCGTGAATTTAGCTACTTCCTAGTAACTCACATGCGCATTCTTATCCAAGATAAATGCAAGATTGCTTGTCCTTTGGTAAAAATGGGGGGAGTTATCTCATGTTTACCATGGGGGTAGGAGTGTGTACACACAGGCAGTTAACTAGGTTCACATCACAATTTACCTTGTGATAAACCTGCCTATACACCAATACTCCTAGTGTTTGTTCTTCATGCTCTACATCCATTCTTTTGCCCCTTTGCCAGGATGGTCACCAGTTATTGCCAAATATAATGGCCTATGTTATATGGAACTGGGAACTTGAATGAAGCCACCAAAGTCACTTAGGTATAACTGCTGAACATCCATTAAACAGCACTTGGCTGGACTTGGTTTGCTAATCAACAGTTAAAAGGCTCTGTATCGCACAGTCACTCTGGCAGTGCCTTCATCATATGCTAACTTAGCATTATAGTTAAGCTATGTAATAAAAATGTTAATATCTGCTATTCTTTTAGGTGTATTACATGCAGAACTGCTATCCAAATAAACACCAAAAAAGTGCAAGTCCTAGTGGTTCTCTCTGAGAAGGGATATCTAGGTGGATTTTGAATATGAACAAATAAGAACTTCTGTTGACTTAGTTCCAAAGGGAACTTTATCCCTCATACTTGTTCAAAGAGATTATTTTCTTCAGCTGTATAATGGGCCATAAATCAAATATATTTTTAAAAGATTGAAAACGTGGAAATTCTAAAATACTCAAGTTTCTTTTAGTCTATGAAGCTTTCACAACATCATATTCCAAAATTGTTCCTTTGCACTAAAAATCTGTAACATTAATTAAAACAATGTTTGCTAGTTTGCTCAAGTGTAAGGGGGGATATAAATCTATAATTTTGAATTTGGTACTACTTCCGCTCTAACGAAACTCTTTTATTATCTAAAGACATTACAGTTTTTTAAAGTTTTTAAAAGATTTTAATTGAAAAAACTCATCAACAGTCTTGAAAAACAAGGGGGAGAAACAAATTTCACATGGAAAAGAAGCATCCAGTAACAGAAGTTAGCTTGTAACCGCAGCCTAGTCCGCTATACAGATGTGTCATGTACCACAACATCCTGTGCAGCTAAAGTAAATAGTCTCAGGAAGCTGATGCCCCAGGGATGACAAGACTTGAAATACAGAGGGAAAAAGGCTGACAAATGTCCTTGTGTCTTCAGGTTCAAACCCAGACCCTGGTGCAGAAGGCTATGGTCAGCGAAGACTCTACTGCTCTCCAAACTACCAGAGTTAAATACTTGATGACGAGTGGCAGAAGTCTCTTCCATAAAAGCCCCCTGAGCGTGAGCCTAATGAGACATGTACTAGGTTTAAGACAGCTTCATTAGGTTGAGTTTTTATCTGACTTGTATGGCTGGGACAAAAGGAACTTATTTCTCATTTTGATGTTAGCCCTGACAAAAAGAAGAGTGTTTTCTAATTTCACCAAGTGTAGGTGTCTTTGTTAAATTCCCAGTTTTCACTCTTAGCTGGAAGTAGGTCTTCATGTTACAGCAGTAAGTAGTAGAAAAATTCTAATATAACAAAGGGCTCAGTCCATCTGTCTATAATGTTCCTGGAGTACTCTGATTGGTTACTGAAACAAGCAATCGGAGTGATCCAACAGCACTACAGACAGGAGGTGGCAGTGTGCTGTCATGATGGCGGGGACAGAGCGGGGGGGCCAGGCCAGCGCTGCTAGCCTTGTGCCTTCCCCCCTAGCCCTGCTCCTTGGAGGCGACGATGGCAGCAGCAGGGGGTGCTGGCGGACAGGGACAGAGGGGCAAGCTCCCGCCCCCCGTCCTCCACTTCTGGGAGGTGGTGGCGGCACGGGGGGAGGGGGGGTTAGGCTTATGACCGCTCCCCCGGTCATTCTTGATGGGCAATTCAATAGTATATAATAATATTCTTATGTAGGAGAGCACTGAAATATCCATTCCTGTAGTCTCAAAATAAAGGCAAACCAAAATCCAAAGACAAGTGCCTTTTCTAGGAGCCACTGCTTTATAATAAAGTCCTTCCTTTCTTTTTTTAGATAGCAGTTTGAGATATAAAAGTTCAGCTATAGCAATAATATAAAGATGAAATACAATGAGATCATACAAAGGTGTAAAAATAACCAGGGGTGCACTGATAAAGATTTTTTGGGCTGATACCGATAGCCGATTATTAACAAGCGATATCGGCTGATACCGAACCGATTGCTGATATGCAGCCGGGCAGCTTGAAGAGCAGCATCCAGCTGTTGGGGGTGAAATGGAGGAGGGGAGGGAAGGGGGGTGGGGCAGATTGAGGCCCCCATGGTGAGGGAGGGAGTAGGGCTGGGGCAGGGGCAGGCACTGCCCACCCAGGGCGGTGCACGGGGCAGAGCTGTGAGCGACCTGTCTGGGGGGCACGGGAGTGGGGGCCTGATCTTGCCACTGTGCACACCCCCGGGGCAGGCATAGGGGGTATGTGACTCCTGGATCTGTGTGCAGGGTGAGGATGGGATGCCACTGTGGGCTGGGGCTGGGCTCTTCCTGGTGGTGTGGGGTTGAGCTGCACTCAGGAAGGCAGCAGCAGCACTGGAAGGCGGGACTATGGGGGCCCACCCCATAGCCCCAGTCCCAACCCAACCCCTCTGCTGGGAAGAGCCTGGTGCTGCTCCTGGGCTCAGCTTGCAGCAGCAGCCTGCCTTCACCCTATGCACAGATTTGGGGGGCCCCCGCCCCTATGCCTGTCCTGGGCCAACCCCATACACCCTGGACGAGCCGATAGCAGCTCTGTCCCGCGCCCCACCCCCACTGGGCAGTGTCTGCCCCTGCCCCACTCCTTCCTTCACCGTGTGGGCCTTGATCTGCCTCCCCCATACCCCTTCCCTTCCTTCCCCTCCACCCCAACAGACTTACCAGCTGGATGCTGTTCTCCAAATTGCCAAGCTGGCTGTGTGATTTCTTTGGCTGCGCGCGCACACATGACATTTATCAGCGACATTATCGGCCACATCAGCCAAAAAAAGCCGACTGCCGATAACGTCAGTTTTCCTTTTATTGATGCCAATATGATATAGACCAATGTATTGGTGCACCTATAAAAATAACTTAGCAAGAATCAGTGTCCTTTATGAAATAAGGGAAAGGGTTGGTAGAAACAATAGTCTCATTCTTAAGGAAGGTGTCATTACAATGGTGGCAGAGCAATACATTTACTCCTGTATTCCTTGCTTAGTACTGAAAACTTCCTCCATCCCTGAAGTATAAAACTCAAACCACTGGATAAGATTTAGCTGAATGGTACAATCCCCAATCAGTCTATGCTTCAGTTAGTACCAGATTCCATTAACCAGATTTTGTACACACCCCAGAAAGTCTGCAATATCCTGAGGAAGTTCATGCTGTTAGAAAAGGTCCAATTATTTTCTTACTAGAATGGTAATTGAATGAAACTAATCTGATACTAAAGTATGGAACAAAGGTTCAGGATCTTTTTTTAACTCTGAAAAATACTCATTTACTTGGCTTGGCTTAATAGAAGTTAAAAGTATACTCACAGCACTGGAAGGGGCCATCTTAGAAGCAAAGTTCTCATTAGGAGGTGTAAGAAGATTAAATGTTGGATTTTGCTGCTGTCCATATGCACCAGAAGATGTCAAGAAACTAGAAGGGCGTTGTGTATGTTCCAAGTAACTGGGAACAATCTTTTGTCTGATGAAAGCAATTTCCCAAGCAGATTCTGATCTAAATTTGAAAAATGTATTACATCTGTTAGACAACAGACACTGAGTAACATGAAATGTCAGTCTTAGAACAAGCTACTGGCCCACATTTCATGGGTCAGTATTTTAGTTTGGACAAATACATTTTTCTCCTCACTTGACTGGCATCAGACAAGTATATTTTGTAACCAAAATGGTTAAAGTTCATACGTTTAAGCATTTTTACAATGTATAAAATTTGCATTTAATATTTCAGAGGCAACAATGTGTCTTCTCCTTACAACAAACACTTTTGTTAAAAAACTTCATGCCTATGTGGAAAGAAAATATTGTCCAATATGTCACTTGCAAGATTTTGCTATAACACTATACTTACTTTGGCTTTGTTCTGCTGATTATACTTTTTGCCTCTTCATAGGAGACACCAATCATCGACTCCTTGTTTATTGATACAAGCTGGTCTCCAGGTTTTAATCGTCCATCCTAATCAATATTGATAAAAAAAAAGCAAGTACAAAAAGGCGCTTACTCAGACATCTGGTGGAAATTCTTGGAATAACTGAAAAAGAGTTTTCTTTTGCATTCCAACCAGAAACTTTGATAAACTTTTTTGAATACTAAAGAAGAGTGCAAATTCAATGAGCTAACTATTAAAGTGCATATGTGAAATGAATTCAAAATCTGAAAGCATAGATGGTAGAAGATGGTATGCCTTGCATTATGTGGAGTTCTGATGAAAAAGAGGAGGCTAAGGCATAGTTGGGCAGCTCTATGGCCTGGGCAGCCATGTGATGCTCAGGACAGTGCTGGCTGTTGTGGTACTGATCACAGTAGTGCAATCAGCCACCGCTGTGGTTGTGGCTATTTCTCTACAGAGGCAACACCTGTGGCTGCTGCCCTAAGTACCACCCTGCAGTTACACGACCAAGAGCAGGTGAATTATTAAGCAGATTACAGATACAGGTGAAGAAACACATCAACTATGAAATGTAAAGGAGCTATCAGAAACTGAGAGAAAAGAACATAAGCCTTGCCTTTGTGGAAACTGACTTGCGTTAAGGAAGCACTATTGATGGAAGAGAAAGATCTGTCTTTTTGTCTACCTTGGGGGGCTAGATTTATTTTTAAATATTAAATTTGCTATTTTGTAATTTGGATTAGTTAATAAACAAAATTTAAAGGAAAAAAAACCCAACCAAGTATGGCATCTTATGTACACATGTTCCTGAAGAGAAAGCTGGAAGGATTTTCAAACCTCAACAGTTTAATGTGCTTTTGAGCTTCTGCCTGGACCAACGTGATTGTCCAACACTGTAGTCCAGCTGTGTCCAATCTTTTTGCTGGCGTGCCACAAATTGAGCTCCATGTCCTCCCTGACTGCCACTTCAATTGCCTTCCCTTGTTTGATCTGCTGCTCCACTTTCTGCCCCCTGCCCTATCTGCCTTATGTTCTTTGTTCCTTCTCCATCTGCCATGTGCCAGATGCAGAGGCTGCCCATGCCACTTGTGGCATGTATGCCACACATTGCCCTCCCCTGCTGTAGTCCATTTGGTTGCTTACAACTTTGTTTATGACATACTAGGATTAGCCCGCACTGCTGTCACTTTTTTCAATTTGGGTAGATCCTTTTCCCCCACAGAGTTCCAGTAACATCTCAGGGGGCTTCCACTCTGGCAGGCTCCTTCAGCTGTGTGGAAGAAGTTGTGGGTACCCAGTGAAAGGTACAGTACAGTGATGACTTTCAATAAATCAGAAAACAATGGCTTGAATACCAGGACAAGGATTTTGGCAGTGGAGTGACAGAATCTATGAAGTGCACCGGAGCGGATGATAGCATTTAGCATTTTTTAAATAAAAACCATTTAGACACTGTGGAGGGAAAATAGGGGCCTTTTCATTTCTGGTATAACCCAGTTGAATATGCTCAAGACACTTCATTGAGGTGAAAAGCTCTGGCAGATGTTAACAGAATGAATTTGGACCCAAATACTTATTTTTTTAATATAAAAATAAATTGCAGATTGACGTTTTTCCAGCAAGGAACACTGACCCATGTGACTAAGGCAAGCCTCTGTACCCATTAATTCAGCCCCGACTTGGATTAATTTATATGTGAAGAAACTGACCTCCATGGCTACAAAAGGGACTTTTCAGGCACTCTTGAGACAAACTCATCCGTATGAGGGGAGACAGATCTTCACATCCTCTGCGGCTAGTAGAGTTTTTATCACTTTTCACATTTTTATCATCCATCAAAAAGAATTTTAGGAAAACACTAGTTTGTGCTCTGGTTGAATTACTCAGTGCAGCCTGCTCTGAAACATTCTGCGAAAATAAGTCTGTATCACATTTCTGCTTCAGATAGTGATATGGTGAGGCTTTAAACAGCCTAGGCTTGATTTCTCATTAAGACTAAGGTCTGTTGGCTCTCATCTGGCTATGAAATGGGCCTTAAAAGAAGTCTGTTACAAGCAACTGAAAACCCAGATTATTGTTTTATTTATTAAAAGGCTATTGCTTTTGAAATTACTGTATTCCAACAGTAAACGGAGCATAAACACACACACATATTAAACATTTTTTTTATTCCTGGATACATTTGGAATAAAAACAGTTACTGGAAGGGAAAATTTGAAGCTATGAAAATTAAAATTCTCTCTGTAATCAGCTTTGCATATTTCACAAAAAGTCCCTAAAATATATTTATAAGTGCTGTCATTAGTAAATATAAATCTTTTGGCCTAGGAGGACTATAAAGATGCAGCTTTGTGATCATAAAATGCACATGTTTACATAATAGTTGCTTGGACTTCAGACTTTTATAAAAAAATTATCACATTTTCTTGCTGTTAACTGTTTGTCTTTGCCCACAGAGGAAAAAAAGCTTCCTCAGAAATATTAGCTACAATGCTGCCCTCCAATGGCAGACATGGCAAACAGCATACTTTAAATACAGAGATTACAAATCCATAAGGATTTACATATGCTTGTGACAGATGTATGCTATAATATTAATAACAGTGTTCTTGTTAGAAATATTCCTGGATCACTGATAAAGAGAAAGAACACGCACTAAATTACAATGGGTCAGAAAAAATGTATTTGGAAGGCAGAATATAATCAAACAAAATAAGAGAAAAAATTCCTACTATCTACAGAGAAGCAGTCCTACAGTGGCTCTGTAATCTTCTTTCTTTCTGCGCCTCGAATTTAACTTACCCTCCTTTTCTGCATATACTAAATTGTGGTCACATGTAACCACAGGCAGAAATTGCAAAATCACTGTAAGCACAATTAGTGTTCTTGCTTTGCAGGCTAAAGCAAGCACGTAGAAGCCGAAATCACCAGTATCATATTTATTGATAATTTGGGGCGCAAAAGAGGATAAATTGCAAAAGTCTTTCTTCTTACCTTTCTGAACACCTGCTTTCAGACTGCATGTGTCCCAGTTCAGCTCAGCCTGAGGAAGCCTGATCTTTCAGCGGGCCAGAAAAACTGACATGGGCTCAAGATACCTGGATACAATACCCTGCTATGCCACAGGCTTGTGGGACTGTGCAGGAGTGTATAATTTGACTCCACTGTCTCTTATTTTCTTCATGGGTAAGAGAAGAATAATGATTCTTATCCTTTATCTACCTCATACCTTAGGATAATACTATCCTTATCTACCTCGTATCTTAATTTGTTAATGGCTGCACTGAAATACTATGGCCACAATAAGAAAGTTCTCAGGAGGACCACTCTGTTGCTACAAAATGACTTGGGGCACAGGAAAAGACTAGCAAAAATTGGAAGCTTGTATCAGGCTGCATGATGCTCTTTTGAAAAGGTCAGTATCTGCCCTCAGCTGGTGTGACACATGCTACCTGGCTAGACTCCTGAGCATGAAATGGCCTCAACATTAAGCCAGGCCTGGTGCTACCTTACCAACAAGTCCAAATCTTAACCCTGGGCCAGCTGTAGCGTGTACCAGCCAGAATAACTGAAATCTTTCCTTAGCTTGCTTCTGTTGCTTTGGACACCTACATGGACATGACAGAAGAAAAGGAGTAAAGAGCTTACTTGACTCGTGCTCCTTACAGGATAGTCTAATACAGGAAAGGTTTGACCCTTGAGACAATTTTCCACTGGAGACACTGTCCCTGTATTGAAAGAGTTTAGCGGTGCCAAGGAAAACATCATGTCCTAGGTTCTTCCAAGTCAAAGTAACTTAACATTGTTGTTGTAGAAAATCTGCAGTGCTGAAGTTGGTACTAAATGAAGGGAGGAAATATGAATAGGAAAGGACATTAGAATGCCTACCTTATGGCAGTCACCTCCAGGAATAACTTCTTGAATATACACCAAGGGCCCTTCATTTCTGTTAATTCCTCCCACAATGTTCAAGCCTAGGCCTGTTCCCTTGGAAACAGTGATAATCTGAAATGCACTGTCACTATGGGGCAGAAAAAAGGCAAAGAAAAAGAAAAATGAAAATCAGCATTAAGAGGTCAGTTCCATAATCTCCAGAGTCCAAAAAATAATGAAGATCCACAACGTACATATAGTCAGAAAGAATTAGTCAGAAAGAAATGGCGGATATTTAATCAGAAGACTGCTACAGTCCACATTCTATTCAATACAAATTATTTTTTCTGTTATTGCTTTAGCAATTACAAACAGAAAAGCAAATTACATATAAGAATTGAGCCAGTGATATACACGCTGCTAGAACTCAAGCAGTGTGCAGTACTCAGCTAGCATTTTGTACACAACCATATCTCTGGAAATATGAAAATAATCATAAAAATCTGCATGGCAAGAAAGTTTCAAGTGTCAACTTTCTTAAGTGCTTTTTTAAGTAAATGTATTTTGCACAAATCTGACTGCAGGGCTGCTTTGGTTTGCAGTCATTCCATTTTCTTTCCAAATATTTGCTGTGGTATTTTTACTGTTCCCGGAACATAGCAAGCCTATATTTCAACCACCTTAGTTCAAAACAAGCATGTGGGAAGTTGTTTATAAAAACTGGAAGATTAAATTAGTTGAAAAAATTGGAGATTGCACAGAACTGTCTATTTGCTAGAGGAGGGTGGGGAACCAAGATTACTTGTTTCTATACTTGGTTTTGCCAATGACTCATAGTTCAACCTAGGATAAATTGGCCACAATTTTCAAAGCTGAATGAACTAATAAATGTATCCTGACTTTTAAATATGTCCGTCTCTCAAATTCTGGGCCAGCTACTACACCAAGCTTCTAGTAACTTCATGGGAACAAGGATCAAAATATCTTTATGTTTGTTCTTTCTAGACCTACTGCTTTTTCAAGTTTTAATACATCATTTTGTATTGGACTGAAACCTCAGGTGCCTCCTGTGCTGTCTGTAGCCACTCACTGGGGCAGCGTGCTGGCACAGGTGACTCCCAACCAGCAAGTCAGTTGGAGAAACACACACAACCCCAAATCAGCCTCATTTCACCATTCAAGCTGAGTTAAAGGCCAAAGGTAAACAAATTACAAAAAAGAAGACTTGGTTATAAAACTTCCTTCCATTTTAACAGGCAGCAGAGTTACTAGCAGCATGGTTTTGAAAATTCTCTTTAACTGTCTGCGTCCTTTTAAGGCACTGTACACAAAACCTTCAGATATGACTAAATCTATATACTTCAGAGAAAGGCAGCTTGTACAAGAGAGTGACAGTCACTTTTAGAAATTACTTTGCGAGCTGAAGGGATGTGGCTATGACAGAGATACTTCCATTGTGGCTGGTGGCAGTATCCTTTGCTTGCGCCAGCTGAGGACTCTGGGACCTTGAAGATGATGCTGAAGAAAGGCTGTCAACAGGTTTCACTTAAAAGAAAAGAAGAAAGGCAGAGGGAAAAGAGAAATAAAAATCACAGTTGAGGACAGCACAGGATTTCAGTGACCTGCAGAAACAAATGCTGCAAGCTTTGCCACTGCAAATAGTCCAGTGGAACTACTTACGTGCCAGGAAGAGGTTTATTCTTAGGAACTTTAAGGCATAGCTCTAGTTCTGCCTAATGGCATCATTATGACCAATTCTTTCATTGTGCATTATCAGAGCAAAGATTAAATGCTAAGATTTGGAATTCATTTTGCAGTTTTTCTGTCCAATATCTGCCCCAAGACTGCAGCACACTGAAGGCCCTGCAATCACAGCAACCTGTGGGAGGCCACAAGGTAGGTGGACAGTGTGCTTACCCACCCCTTGGACAAATGGGAGCCCCCACCCCTTTCTGGCTGCTGGGATGACGGTTAGCACCCAGGGCTGCTCATATCTTACAAAGCCTGAACTTGATTTAACAAATCAGAGAGCAGTAAAATGCTAGGGGTGAGAGCAGAAAGAACACTAGATTAGCTACTGAAAATAATCCATTCTTGAAACACTGGATTTACCCTGCACATCACCCTCTCAAAGTAATAGCTTCAAGTGTTTAACTACAATTTTCCAGTCCCATCGCCTCAATTTCCCAGCCCCTTCTTCCCAATCTTGGAAAGGAAATTAAAAGCTTTTGTCAAACTGATAAAACAAGGCTCAAGGAAAACTTAAAGTGCAAGGCTACCCAGCCTCAGAATTGGAGCTAAGCCAAGCACTTGGTTTTCAGAAACACACATCACCCGCTGGATTGTAAAGCAAGAGCCCTTCACATGAAATGTGTCAAAATCATCTGTTATATACCCTTCTTAAGGGGACAGGTTGATCCCGTATATAGGGCATCCTTATCAGTGCAAGCACCCTATCAGGTATGTGCACAAAGTGATAGTACCTTAAGCACAGATTCATTCTCTGCATGTTTTACCCACCTTTTATCTGAAAATGTCAAAACACTGTACAAATAATTAATAAAATCCCCTTGAGGAAGGTGGCATTATCCTCATTTTACACATGAAGGTTAAGTGACTTGCTTAGAGTAGTGACAGTGAGTAAACAATAGAATCAGGAACTCATGCAGGAGTCCACAGTAGTTTCTGTTTCATAAAAGAATGACTACAGCCCTGAAACATTATTTCAGGTTAACAAGCAGTCTCAACTAATTTCAGGATAGTACAAAATACAGAACTATTCATGTCTTACCAGCTAGCAGTTGTGTTGGAGAGCTTCTTGCAGAGTCTGTATTAGCGTGAGATCCATACTTGTCCATCAGGTTTAGAAATTCTTTCCTACGATAATAAAAAACATCTCTCAAATGCATCATTTGAAACTATGTAGCAGTGTCATTTGTTAAGAGTATGTCATTTCCTGAGACAGCAATAAATTAAAGGTGAATTCAAGGTCCAATGACCTTCTTGTTGCATATAAAAAGCCTGAGAACAGTTAAGTGAAAGAATAATATAATATGAAAGGATAAACAGACAGGATGACAATGGTCTTTAAACAAGATGGGCTGGTTATTATAATGTAGAGCATTTTAATTATTAGTTTTAGCCTCCTAAATTGAAAGTGCTTCTTGAGATATGTCAGATAATAGGAGAAGGGTGTTGTTAGTTTGCAAAAGAAATGATTTATTACCAGGAGACAAGTTATAACTAAAACATTCTTTTCCTCCCTCCCTCACTCATTCTCTCTCTCTCTCTCTCTCTCACATACTTTTAATAATCCTTTGTGAAAAAAATAAAACATAGATTGATTTGACTACTACGGAACAATGGCCCAATCAGGACAGAATGCTACAAATGATTCTGTACCATTACCCTACATCAAACAGAAATACACTAGAAACATTTATTGGCATTTAATGCAAAGAAAAAGAGGAGAAAATAGAAGTAAGTCCTTGATACCCATTGTAGGGCTTTTATTCTCATTGAAATTAGAAGTACATGTAATCTGAAGTACCTTAAAAATGTTAAGTATTTTATACCATATTTTTTATTCTTATTATTATTACGAAATCCTCTAAAAAAAAAAAGCACTGGAAAACGAGCGATTCCTGAGATTCTGTCAGAATGCAATGATCACCACCACAAGGTGGGCAAAATATAGCCCATAGGCTGAATCCGGCCTGCCAACTAATTTTATCTGGCCCATGGGCAGGCAGTGAAAATGTAGATTGAGGAGTCAATGGGTGAGAGACAGGCTGGGGGAGGGGGGGGGGGGGAGTTCAGGGGCTTATGCAGAGCCCCCCATGCAGCATGGGGCAGTGGGGGCAGCTGGGATCGCCCCCCGCCTGGCAGCACCTGCTGAGCCTGGGGGGGAGGGCATTCCCCAAATGCTTAGAGCTGAGGCAGTTGGGGCAGCCATTGTTGGACT